CCCTGAACTAAAGTAAATCCTTTACCAGTGCCACAGTTGAGAGGGATAAAGCTTCCTAAGACAGAGTTCCCACAGTGTCAACCTTCTGCATCGACTCATCATAGGAAAGGATGCAACATAAAGCAAACGGCTAAAGCTGTGTTTTAAGCTTAATTCTCTTTATCTTACACGGCTTTGCATCTCCTCCCTCTCCCAATCCATTTTTGGTCCCCACTGGATGAGCAGTTTTGGGAATTGAAACCATTATGCACAGGCCAAGCTGAGAAATCATAGAGCAGGCTTCACAGCTTCTCAGCTGACCAGCCAGCCAAGGAAGGCACTGAGCCAAGATTACACACTCATTTTGCAGGCTACATGTGATCCACCAGAATCCATGGGATCTTTGCCTGAGTGCAAGCTGGATGTTTGAATTCCATATGTTGCATATTCCACACATCCTCTGACATGACTAAAACCCAGATTTGTTTCAAAAAGCAAGTTTTGCTGCATTAGTAGTGAGGTCAAGGTTCAGTTGCTACATGCTAAGAACTATCTTTGTTTGTATATTATGCATTGATATGTAAAAATAAAGGATGTCACAACAGAGGTAGAAAATGATAAGATGCATCATAAAGAGTTATTCATCTATTGCACATCCAAAAATGCTTCAATACAATCTCAGAATTAGAAATACTGCAGAACTGCTTCACAAATGAGGCCTTCTCTGAATAATAATGATCTATGAATTCATTACAATATATGGTTCTTCATCTTTTTTTTAGAGCTGTAAAAACATTATGTAAGGGGGAAAAAAACCATAAGCCCCCCATATTTGAAAATTTTTGTATTCATGGGTAAAGCTCTCTCTCATTGCAAAAGATCCAAACCTCTTCTGCCTACACAAATGCTACCAGGTTACTTCAAATATTTTCACTATTGGCATATTTAAATTCATCCATCACACAGACATATATTACAAGTAAGGGCTGAGACTGCAGCAGCAAACACTACACTGCAGCAACAGAGCATCCCACGAGCTGCTGTTTTGCTACAGACCTCAACAGTGCAGGACTGCAGGAAAGCCTGTCAGTTCTGTCTGCAAAACTACCAAGCGATGCGTAGCTCTTGAGTTCCTCACACCCAAAATGAAGAATAAGTATCAGTGTTTGCAGAAGACCATGGCCACACACAAATAACATCCATCTGCTTTTCCCTGACATCTCATTTTTCTGTTGTTGGAATATTTTCCCCTTTCCAGAGGTGTGCAGGGGCAGGAAGGCTCCAGGAACTCAAGTTGTAACTATTTATAGGGTTTTCATCAGACACAATGACACAAGAGAGGTCAAGAGTAAGATGTATTAAAACCTTTCAGGAATTAATTCTACCCTGTGGATTCTTTACTGATGGAGAAGTCAAGCAGATTAGCGCACTCAGAAGACATACCTTGCAGGTACCAAAGCTCACTCAGGCTGTGTGTGGCATCACACTCTGCTGCAATGCTATGTCTCTAGTATTTCCCAGTTTCCCAATAAAGCATCTCAAAGTTGACTACACTTGAGTGTAAAGAAGCTGAAGGGTGGAATAGGACAATGTATTTGAAAATGAAAAAAAACAAATCTCCACGCCCGTCTACTTAAAAGGTAAACACTGTTCTGAAAAACATTTTGGAGAGCCATTAATAACTGTATTAAATAGCATACATGAGAGAACTCTCACGTAGTAAAACAGCATGAAACAGGCACTGCTAAAACTCCAAATTCAGAATACCTTCTTGCTAAAAGCCAGTATGAGATGCTTTATGAAATACACACTGCACATTAATAACCACCAACTGAAAAGGCATTTTTCCTCTCATCTGATAATACTTGTTACAAATCTGAGCTGTTCAGCCTGTGCCATACTCATTACAGGAACTGCAAAAGCAGCATTTATCATGATACAAAAAAATGCTGAGTACAAAGGCACAACAGAAGAACAGTATACTGAAATTATATTTTTAATGTGTAGGCATTGTAAATCAGTTAACTTCACCAGAGCTGAAATACACAGAAAAGTAAAAAATTCTGGTTACAGGTTATTTCTCTGCTGTACATATATATACATTATGACCTCTAAATGGCAAAAAGCATCCGATTACAAAGACTGCTATACATCATTGTGATCACAAGGTGGTGCAAGTGACCTACAAGCTCATTCACTTCACAAAACTGACAGCATTTTGCTTTATCACTGTCAAGCAACTAAGGCATTTTTAACTTGTAAAAATGAACAAAAAATGGCAAAACACAGCAACTACCCTCCCCCTGACTCCCAATCAGCTGCATTTCCTTGACTCAGAATGCAGCTTCAGCCTAACTCAGAAGCTTCCAAATTTTTCCGCAGGTGTTAGCTGTACATCTCTAAGAGGTTATACCTGGAAAAGGGTTCTTGCCCTTGTCAGGTCTGAAACACTTTTCCTTTACACAGTATAAGGCACTTGGAGAAGCAGGTATTGTGGATATGCTATTTAATTCCCTAAGCCTGAGGAACATGAGGGCAATTTTCACTTTTCCAGTAAGAGATAATGAATTATCCGCTGTAGAAACTCAGAATTTATGTACAGAATACAGACAAAATGAAAGCTTTTATTTTATATGCAACAGATATTTGGTATAATAATACCTATTAAATAATTAAATTCAGTTAAATGCACGTCCACAGCAATTTAAACTAGAATTAGTAACAGAACTCAGATGAAGCATTATATTTTTGGCAGACACCTCAGAGGAATCATAGAATGGTTTGGGTTCTTCAGTACTATCCTGTACTCCTATCAACAGTACACGTCCACTTCAATGAATCTAGACAAAGCACTAATACCGCATCCAGTTACTTCTGTACACGAAGCATGTAGCTGTGAAAATATTTACTGCTCCAAAATTATACAATACCTATTTGCAGCAGTGATTTAGGTTCATTGTAACTACTTTGCTGATCTTAATATGTTCTGTTGCATATCTGGCATGACACTTCATTATAGTTTATGAATAAAGTAGTAGCACATTTGCACTACACTGATAAAAAGATGACTATAGATTTTTATATAAACATATGAATTAGATTTAAGAAATAAGAAAGAGCTTGGCTTAATATGAAACAAAATTTCTTCTTTAATATTCCACTACTGAAACTATTTAGGACCCCCTTCCATCAAGGAAAACAGAGTAGAGAGTAACATACTCATTCATGATTGATAACTAGCCAACTGTCTACAGAACATGTGGTATGTTTTACAGGATGTGTAAGATAATCTCAATGCAAACATCTTTCATCCACCGATGCTAATGTGAGTTCAGATTTTTGACAAGATTATACATGTATGGAACAAAAAATACCACCCAAACTATACAGAGGAGCTCCAGCAACTAAAATAAGTCACATAAAAAGTCACGTACACTATGACCTGGTGTAATCTTGAATGCCCAAGTATGCTAAATTTAGTGCTAGCCCACTCTGCTCTTTCATGTTACAGCTAGACAATCCAAAACCGGATCAGTCAGATGTCTAAACCACTTCAAATGTGAAACAGCAAAATTCATGTTCAAGATGGGCATTCTGGAAGTGATAAATGAGACCTTTACATCCATATATGTTACATGCACTGACAGGATCAGAAGAGATCCTCAGCAAGCAGTATGCAGCTGGGAGACAAGAAAGCTTAATCTGTCCACTAAGCAAATGCAATATGATTTACACTTGACATAAATGCTGAAGGGGAAAAGTTAAGCCATCAAAATAAACCAGGAATTGTTTGCCCTAGAGAAACACAGTATGATTACAGGGTTAGGGCTCAGACACTTTCTTGTCTTCCTTCAGGGAGGGAAGAAGGGATTTTGTAGCCACTTTTCATTAGTGGGCTCATGAAAAAGCAGCATGATTCAAAATATGACAAAACCAACAAAGGTAGCACTTTCAAGAACTGCCTTTATCTGAAAATATGCAGTCATAAATCAGACAAACCTTATCAACTAGAAAGTGAATTCTCACTTCACAAAAAGCCCTTTTAAAGATCAATAGTCCTAACTGGCTTGGGGATAAGAGACACCAAACCAAAACCCCAACCAAACCAAAATCTGGAGTTCCCATTTTTCAGTACAGTACATACTGAAATACATCTTACAACTTTTACTTTGAGTGTCCTCAAAGGCCAGTAGCATCCTTCTCAGATGTTTGAGGTTTACCTTGATTCACCCTTGTTCTTCTTGTGCTACCTTAAGAGAATGCACACTAGAAAACAACGTACGCTTTAATGACTTGTTTAGCTCAAGTTCACACAGCCTTGAATCCCAGGCATTGGCCAAAGGCGCTAAAGTGGCAAGCGTAAAGTAGGCATACAAGGAGGGCCTTTATGCCCTGTGGCACTTGTTTATTTTGTTATGTAACTTGTAAGTTTTGTTATATAATTTAATAGACACAGAAACCCAAAATATTTCAGATTTGTTGAAGCACATACAAACTATTACCTGCTTGGTGGGAATATACCTTCTTCTTCGTTTCTGACTGGTCTTATGATCACAGAGAAACTGCAGCTCTCCCTGTTCCACTTCCCCTTTCCCTCAGCATATTTAACCTCTTCTTTTCCACTCTTATTTTTCAAAATAAAATGCACCCATGTAAGCCCCATCTCTCAAATCAACATCAAATATTAACACAATTATAAGTTTGGCCCTTAAAAGGCACACCTGGGAGCATGATTTGCAGGCAAAAGCTAACAGACATTACCACACAGAGGTGTGTGTGTATACATGTATACAGAAGTATCTGGAGAACCAAAGGCTGCAGATTCAGCTAGTAAAGCCAGCACGAAATCCCAGCAACCCTGGTCAGCCCATTTATTTTGCAGCAGGATTCTTGGGAGGTTGCAATTTGTAGGTGCTGAAGTAGCTCACCACCTGCTGAGGGACTTCTGCCAGGACACACTGCGCCAGCGCTTCTTTTGGAGACTTACCAAAAAAAAAAAAAAAAGAACACAGAGTTTCAGTTTCCATCAACTGTTGACAGAGATCCTAAGACAGGTAATAAGCACCTCCTCTACTAGGTCAGTTTAAAGTCTGGCATTTTACAGAGGACTTTACACAGTGCCCTTTTGGGACAGATGGAAGCTTCTCTGAAATCCTCACCGCCTCACTCCCATTACTAGGAAGCATCTGGCTGCCTTACTCCACTGAAGTAACAGAAGCTGGGTGTGCAAAGGCCTGCCATGTCTGAAGGTACCTTTTGTCATGAAATGCACACAAAGTGCAGATGTTAAACTTCAGCCATGTAAACACTCTTTAACTATCTGCTTAGATGACACTTCAGGGGCTTGTCTCATCATCCACAGCCTTTTGCACCACGTCTCATCCACAGTAATCAGTAATTGCACTGCTCCAGAGGAGCTCTGCTAGAGATACTGTTTTCACTGTAAGACTCAGTACCCATGGGGAAAAAAGCACCCCTTTTTCAAGAAACTGAAAGCATTTTAATGTGTAATTTTATACTGAATATTGACCGTAGTTAATCTACATCCAGGTGCATTATTCAGTGAGCATATTCTATACTGATTTTGCTCTCTTTCTCCTTTCAGTTTGCATGATTTGCTCCAACACTAACAAAACTTCTATAAGAAGTAAAAGTACAAAATACAAAGACAAAATAAGAAGGTATAAGGAGTATTATTAATAGGGTTAATATTAAGAAACAAAATTAGAACATAAAGGTGGAAATTAAACTTATCTCCCCATCCTGAAGAAATTTTCTTTGCTTTTTGTTTGGATTTTTGTTTGTGGCTTTTTGTTTGGTTTTGTTTGTGGTTTTTTTCTATTTATTAGGCTTCTGGGTTTGGAGTTTGTTCTTTTTTCTGTTGGGTTTTCTTTATTGTTTTGTTTTTTTTTTTCTTAAATCAACTTTTTTGCAGCAATATCACATTTAAAAGTCAGACTATATACTAGGCAGAACATATTTTATTGGGTTCTACAGCAAAAAAAATCAGGACTCTATTCTTTCACTGCCTCTTTTTTTGGTATACTTGTTTTAAAGAAAACCAAAACTATCACCACTATTGTGCCCACACACAATTTCTTCTGATTACAGCCTTCCTGATTTACGCTTGAATTTTAACACTGCACTAAAATGTGAGACTAATCCACATTTACAAATGGGCATCCACAATAAAAACACTCCACCATAAGAACAAAACCACAGTAAGTTCTTCCTCCCAAATGAAAAACACATCCATATATTTAATCAAGTTTGAGGGAGATTTACAAAGGTCATTCTTCTGCAGCTTGTCAGAAATGCAGTGCTGAAACCAGAATGGAATCTTTCTGAACATGCATCAGCTCACCTACTGAAAATTCTACAGATGATGAAGCATTTTTGTCCTTTTTTTCTTTTTAGACTTCCAAATTAATTTTAGAGACTCTGAAAATGCTTAAGACTATATTTATTAAACATTCCACCAAGATTACTTACATTTTGAAATTTCCTGAATGGCACAAACTGGACAATGTCTCTGACAGCTGGCTCTCCAGATGACAACCTAAGAACTCCATCGTCACCATCAAGAAATTCCATAGCATCAAAATCTGCTCCTCCAACACCAACAATGATAATGGACATGGGCAATTTTGAAGCATTAACTATGGCAGTTCGAGTCTGATCAAGGTCTGTTATCACACCATCCGTTATGATCAGGAGTATAAAGTATTGCTGTCAAATCAATAAACACGACGTTATGACAAAAAACTGAAAATAGGTAGACATGTACACTTAGAAAAATGAACACACAGACTATATGCTTTGGTCACTTTAAGCATGTTCAATACACTCACTGAATTTTACAAGCAGACATCTAAGTTGTGGTCAAGCTTCAACTGTACAGTCTGAAGAAATTTATAAGGACAACAGAATCAGTCTTTTAGAAGAAGTCATCTTTAAACATCACCTCCCAAAAAAACAAAAGTGGTATCACTCTTGTTCTTTATCAGCTAACAACGAATAAACGAGTCCTGGAACTCTTTTAAATTAAAACATCTTTTTCATGCTGAAAAACAGCATGTGCATTTTCAAATTTCTTTAATGATGTTTTCTAGCTGCTTTGTGAAGTTAATTATCAATGTATCTGAGACCACCTTGCAGTACTTTGGCAATTTATTCAAGCACCACTTGACCTGCTTCCACCATACTGCCAGGGCTTCTACAAGCTGGCATCTCAGCCTCTGTTCTGGATTGAAGCATGAAGAATAAGCTAGAAGTACGAAGTTCAGAAACTATAAAAACACTTGCTGAACTTCTGGTCTCCTCTCACTTGGTTCATTTCAGGAGATTGCTGGGCAGCACAAATTCAAGTTCCAAAGGTATACTCAGGAGTCTTCCTCTTCAGAATTTTGCTCCCTGTCTTCACTTATCTGCTTCTAAAATAACTGGTTTTCCCTTATCTGCTGTGTTCAGGTTATCACCTTTTCTCCTTGCTCCCCAATACTCCCAATTTCCCCCCTCCGACAACATCTACAAAACAACTATGACCAGAGAAGGCCAAGACCAGCAGCATGACAGAATATCACACTGGATTTATATCTCTCTTCTTATACTTTCCTCATAAGGAAAAAAAAAAAAAAACAACAAAAAAAATCCAAAAAGCAAACCCAAAATATCTACAATACACATTAAATAGCAAAGCAGTAAAATTTATCCAATATATAGATAGGAAAAGCCTCACATCAGATAGGAAAAGCCTCACGCTCACAGGCCCTTGTTCCCATGGGTGACTTCAACCACCCTGACATCTGTTGGAAGGACAGTATGGCCCAGCACAAGCAATAAAGGAGGTTCCTCGATTGTGTAGAAGACAACTTCCTTCTGCAAGTAATAAAGGAGCCGACAAGGAGAGGTGCCATGCTCGACCTCGTGCTCACCAACAGGGAAGGGCTCGTTGGAAATATGACGCTCCAGGGCAGCCTTGGATGCAGCGATCATGAGATGCTCGAACTCGAGATCCTCAGGACAGTGAGAAGAGCGTGCAGCAAGCTCACTGCCCTGGACTTCACAAGAGCAGACTTTGGTCTCTTCAGGAACCTGCTTCAGAAGGTTCCATGGGATACAGCCCTAGAGGGCAGAGGGGCCCAAGACTGTTGGTTGATATTCAAGGATCACCTGCTACAAGCTCCGGAGTGTTGCATCCCACCTAGAAGGAAGTGAAGCAGGAGGGCCAGGAGACCTCCTTGGATGGATAAGGAGCTCCTGAGGAAAATTCAAATGAAAAAAGTGGCTTATAATAAGTGGAAGCAAGGACAGGCAGCCTGGGAAGAGTACAGGGATGTTGTCCGGGAAGCTAGGGACCAGGTTAGGAAAGCTAAGGCTCAGTTAGAATTAAACTTAGCTAGAGGTATTAAAGATAACAGGAAGGGATTCTACAGGTACATAGCAAATAAAAAACAGACTAGGGAGAACGTAGGCCCCCTCAGGAAGCTCTCAGGAGAACTAGCTACCCTGGATTTGGAGAAGGCTGAGGTTCTGAATGAATTCTTTGCCTCGGTCTTCACTGCCAAAGGCTCTGACCAAACCACCCAAGTCTTGCAAGGCAGACGCAGGGACTGTGAGAATGAAGACCTTGCGCCCACTGTAGGAGAGGATCTGGTTCGAGACCATCTTAAAAATCTGAACGTGCACAAGTCCATGGGTCCTGATGAGATCCACCCACGGGTAACGAAGGAGCTGGCAAATGAAGTTGCGAAGTTGCGAAGCCGCTGGCCATCATATTTGAGAAATCATGGCAGTCAGGGGAGGTTCCCAATGACTGGAAAAAGGGAAATATAACCCCCATTTTCAAGAAGGGGAAAATGGATGACCCAGGGAATTACAGACCAGTCAGTGTCACCTCTGTGCCTGGCAAAATCTTGGAGCAGATTGTCCTGGAAGGCATGCTAAGGCACATGAAATCAACAAGGTGCTTGGTGACAGCCAGCTTGGCTTCACTAAGGGGAAATCCTGCCTGACCAATTTGGTGGCCTTCTATGATGGGGCTACAGAACTGACGGATAGAGGTAGAGCAGTTGATGTAATCTACCTGGGCTTGTGCAAAGCGCTCAACACTGTCCCACATGACATCCTTGTCTCCAAATTGGAGAGACATCAATTTGATGGATGGACCACTCGGTGGATAAAGAACTGGCTGGATGGCCGCACGCAAAGAGTTGTGGTCAATGGCTCAATGTCCATCTGGAGACCAGTAACAAGTGGGGTCCCTCAGGGATCGGTGTTGGGACTGGTATTGTTGAACATCTTCGTCGCTGACATGGACAATGGGATTGAGTGTGCCCTCAGCAAGTTTGCCGATGACACCAAGCTGTGTGGTTTGGTTGGTACGCTGGAGGGAAGGAATGCCACCCAGAGGGACCTTGACACACTTGTGAGGTGGGCTGATGCCAACCTCATGAGGTTTAACCATGACAAGTGCAAGGTCCTACACCTGGGTCGGAGCAATCCCAGGTACAGCTACAGGTTGGGCAGAGAAGAGATTCAGAGCAGCCCTGCGGAGAAGGACTTGCGGGTGCTGGTAGATGAGAAAATGAACATGAGCCAGCTTCAGTGTGTGCTCACAGCCCATAAAGCCAACCGTATCCTGGGCTGCATCAAAAGGAGCGTGACCAGCAGGTCGAAGGAGGTGATCCTGCCCCTCTACCCTGCTCTTGTGAGACCTCACCTGGAGTATTGTGTGCAGTCCTGGTGTCCTCAACATAAAAAGGACATGGAACTGTTGGAACAAGTCCAGAGAAGGGCCACGAAGATGTTCAGGGGACTGGAGCACCTCTCGTATGAAGACAGGCTGAGGAATTTGGAGCTGTTCAGCCTGGAGAAGAGAAGGCTGCGTGGAGACCTCATAGCAGCCTTCCAGTATCTGAAGGGGGCCTATATGGATGCTGGAGAGGGACTCTTCATTAGGGACTGTAGTGATAGGACAAGGGGTAACGGGTTAAAACTTAAACAGGGGAAGTTTAGGTTGGATATAAGAAGGAAATTCTTTCCTGTTAGGGTGGTGAGGCACTGGAATAGGTTGCCCAGGGACATTGTGAATGCTCCATCCCTGGCAGTGTTCAAGACCAGGTTGGAAGAGGCCTTGGGTGATATGATTTAGTGTTAGGTGTCCCTGCCCACGGCAGGGGGGGTGGAACTAGATGATCTTAAGGTCCTTTCCAACCCTAACGATTCTATGATTCTATATCCTTTCAGGCAGAAAAAAAAATCCCTTGCAAGGCATATTGGACTCTCTGGGAGAAAAAAAATGTACAAGAGGTTTTGCTACTTTCCATGTGTGTGTGTGTATATATATATATGTATATATTGATGACAGTTACTACTGAAAGGCTATCAAAACCTTATAAATTTCCTGCCATATGAAAATCAATACCTCTTTTCCAAATTGGTTTCCACAGGTACTTTTCTATGCAAAACCAGCTGATTTTATTTTCTGATTTTACACAATGTCTGAGACACCAGTATCTGCTATTGTTAATTATTTAGGATATATATAGCTTCAGATTTGCTGAACTTGCATGGATTATTAATTAAATTATTTCATATTCAAGACTTGCTCTTCAGATTTCCTATTTCTTAATATGGTCAACAACTCACACATACAATTTTAATAAAAAGCAGGGCAGAGAACATACAGCACCTAAAGCTTTCTAGTACAGACAATTTATTATCTATGTTGGCACCTAGATGGCAGGAGCTATATCCTCCATTTCTTTGTTATCTTATTTTATTCTCTCTCTCAGCTATCTGATGTGAAACAAGGTATAGGTGATTTTCTCAGCTGAGGTTAAGTCACTTTCCTATATGCAAAGGCTTAAATTAGACTTTTAACACCTGATTAGCATGGCAAGACCTTGGAATACAAAATACCATGAAGATTCCATATATTTTTAAGCTGGTGTTTCAACTCTCAAGAGTTTGTTTAGTTAATTTTGGAGAGAATTACTGTGCACAATCTGCAGAAATCAGTTAGCTTTTATCTCCTTTTAAGGGTACCTAACACCAATTCACAAGGTAAATATCCATCAGTCAAAACAAATACAGCTTAAAAGAGAAAAATAGCATGTGTTAACTGGAAGGGAAAGAAAAAAGTAAAAAAAATATACACAGTACCATAAGGAACTTACAGATGCTGTTTGCTGTTGTGTAGCTGCAGCTGCAAATCTTGCCACATGATTTATAATTGGAGAAAAATTTGTTGGTCCATATAACCTCACTTGAGGAAGACAAGCCCGATACGCATCAACGATGCCTTGGACTCCTAGAGAACACAAATAGATCACATTTATTTTTTTTTCATATCAGATATTTTGAAGCACTCAATCTTCCTGAAACACTGTCTATATCAGTTATTTAAAGTAATGACATGAAAATTTAAAACTAACCATGATGAAAAAAAGTAAATGATTCTATAAGCAGTGGAGGCCTTTACCTTGAGCAATGCTTAATGCAACTGCTTAACATGTTTGCCTCTATGTGTGAACAGAAAGGCCAACACTCTGGCTTGCAACAGTTCTCGTCATCTAGTAGCTCATGGCAGTTAATAGTGTGATCAGTGAGGCCATGTTGAACAGGCACTGTTCAGCATCATATTCAAATCAGACAACTCCACAGGGAAGCAGAATGAATTGGCTTGACAACATAAGAGAATCATTCCCATTTACCTGCACTGTACCCCGTTTAAAACACTTCTTTCACAAATCATTACAGAAGAGAGACCGAATGCTAATCATAGCAACTAAGAAAACAATTATAAAATTGTTTCCTGTTACAGAACTAAATTCATTATTTAACTAGAACAATAGGCCTCACAGTTCACTTTCTATGTGATTTTTATCGCTTCACCTTAGACTTGCTCAGACTTACCATTACAGAATGGGTTTGATGGGTTAAAATTTAATGGGAACTCATGTGACACCTGTAAATATACAAGACATGGTCAAGGACTGTATATACAATCTCCTCCTGAAGTAAGTGCTTTTAGTTAATATGTAGTGCGTTTACATATTCCATTACCTGAAACGAAGGAGGAATTTGTGCACCAAATCCAAAGGCTGGAAACATCTTATCTCTAAAAAAGACAATTTTAAAGAAAATGAAGTGAATGCCTTCCTTTAAAAGCTGTCATAGTTCAGTAAATTTAGCTAATCACTGCCACTTCTGACTATTAAAAATGCTGTTTATTAAGCATTAAGAGGCAAAATTAAATGGAAGTTGTGCCATGTAACTGTTTTTAGGACCAAAACCAGTGTTCCACACCCAGTGGGCAAAAATGCAAACATTTATTTAAATCAACACTGCTTTTTGCATCACAGATGAAAAGCCTTGCTGTTTGTCTGCTGCAACATAAGCTTCTCCTTGTGATTATGTGATTATGCGATTATGCGATTCTGCAGTGATTATGAAGTCTTTTTTAGCTCTACATTTCATCTCAGAAGTTTTATGCCAATATATCTGCTAGCACCTTCAACACTGGTTTAAGAAGCTATCATAAAAATCTATACATATCAAAAAATTATTCAAATGAAAATCTAAAACTTACGTATCATAATCCTGAATGACCAGTCCTACAGACCAGATGGCTGTTAGGTATTCATTAACTCCATTAGGGCTGAGGTAATGCAGAGAGTCTGGAGAGCGAGGGTCTCCGTTGGAGCCTGTAAAATCTATCCCTACCTGTCAAATGCAATGTTTATATTAAATTGCTGTTAGCGGTAAAATTATCTTTCTTATCAATCACAAGGCCAAACTGAAAATCATAAAAGGGTTGTAAACAGTAGCTACCAGGACATCTACAAATCTAATAGTCATAATATTCAGAGCAGGTTTCTTGGAATAGTAACACTTAATGCCTTCACAAAACCATCAGCAGCTTTACATTTGTCAGAAGGGCTGAAATGACTTTCATCTGTCAGGTTTTCACTGTGTTCACTTTCAGTTACCATTCACAGTGGCTCTTCAATAGCTATTAAACTAACTTCACCCTCTATCTTGCCATACACATCTTTCTTCTCGGAAGTACAGCAGTCACTACAGAAGCGTAGAGACACTTCTCCAACCTCAGTGGGTCTTCTCTGCTTTGGTGATGAAGTATATCACCAGGGTGAAGACATCTTACTGCTATTTGCACTGCTTTTGGCTCTTCTTGGGCTCCATCCACACAGCTCAGCTAGTTTCTAACAAACATAACTACAGGTTCAGAACTTTGTGCCATGAAAATAATTTTTCCTAAACACACTAGATGGACTCTGGCAAAATGACTTCCCCCTCCATGCTACAGAACAAAACAAAACCACCCCCCCAAAAAAAAATCAACCCAAACCCCCCTCCAAAAAAATCCCTGATAATAAAATGCAGAGCACAGGTGCACAGGCAATCAATTATATATTTCCATTCATTCTAAAACGTAAAAGCTACTCTATATAAATGATTTTACTTACTGTGAAATTCAGTTGACACCCACCCATGATGTAATCGAGGAATGTGCACTCTACTATGATCTAAAAACAGAAGTTAAATATAGAAATTAACTTTTTTTTTTAAATTTGAGAAAATCAATAAATATTATTGCAGTAACTTTTGAGATTGTAGATTTGTTATCTTTACCCATGCAAAGCACTACTTTTACTCTACAGACATCTAAAGATACATACTTTTACTATATACCAATTTTACTCTAGAGATATCTAAAGATACATGCTTTTACTATATACTATTTTTACTCTACAGATTTTACCCACCCACTGCAGTGAGGATACCTACAGAGTGGGCCGTCGATGCATCAGAATTAGGCCTTTTACAAAATTACAGATAGACAACAAAGCAGCTCCAAAAGCTCTATTATTTATAAACCAACATATAATAACAGACTTACCAGATTTTAATTCACCATATAATGGTGAGTTGGGAAATGCAGGGGTTCAGGAATGGCCTTACAAATTAGTAAGTGATCTTTGCCATACAGATGGCACCTTCATGAGAAAGTGAGGGGACAGAGGAGGACAGACACAAGATTCAGCTGCCAATCTGGCTCCTTAATCGGATTCCTTAAATACCTACTGTGTCTGGAAATTTCAGACATTTTAAAGTTTCTTACAGTTTGAGGGTGAAAGCATAGCAGGTGACAGCTGTTATGCCTGAACACTTAGAAACAGAATAATACCAGAATACATCACTGACCTCACAATGCTTAACGCTCACAATACCAGAGTTTTTATAGTTTTTTTTCTTCTGTCGTTTCTTTTCATTGATGCACTCAAATTCAACCTGCATGAACACAAACAAATCCAACATAAGCACTAAAGGTATCATTTATGCAACAAAAATTCTTCATTCTATGACTGGTACTTTGGGCTTGTATTAAAAATGCAGTCTCACTATCAAAAATTTAACCCAGCTTGCCCCAAATTAGCAAGAAGAATGCCATTATCAATACAGAAATCCTCTCTTACCAAAAAGTTTAGAAATATGTTTGTTTAGACAACTGTATTTTAACCAAAGAAATTGTACTATTTTCCCTCTGAGGATTCTACTACCTAAAAAACTGATTTTTGCCTGAATCACCATGTCTTTAACAAAGCAGCTGTAGCACTGACATATGAAGTAATACCTATATGTATAAGCTTTCCAAAATCAGTTTTTGAGGCTTCATCAGTTAAACCATTACCTTAACCTACTAGTGCAGTCAACACTGAGCCAGGTTATGCAGCTCCTGCCACCATACAGGTAAATGGATGAGTAATGTAAATGCTGAGCTAGCCTCAACTACAGCAGCATTGTTAAGCTGCAGCCTCACAACTTCAATATCACAAGTCAAGTGACATTAAGTTTTGCTCCCAAATGAGTATAACAGCTCATCAAAAGCACACAGGTGGACTACATGAGACTTACAGGTGAGGACCGGGATGCTTCTTTCAGTTTTGACATCGTAGTTTGAAAGCTTCCTATGAGATCATGAGACCCATCACTATCATAGTCATAGCACTCTACCTAAAATGAAGCACTATCCAGTGTTAGTAACAGAAATGGCCCTAGAAAAGCAATGAACACTTCCATAGCATTTCCCCAGGCAAAACTGAATCTCTTGTATGATGGAGATTTTCCCAGATTGCACTCTTAGAATTGAATAGAGTAACACCTAAAATTATGAATGAAGCATGATAAAAAACAATATAACCCATTTCAGACCAGATCTTTCACTGGAACGAAGGAGGGACGAAAACACTAAGCAGCTTCAGGTCTTGAATGAGCAAGTAACATCAATTATACTGAACTATGTTTTGCGAGTGTGAAGGTGTTGGGAACAGCAAGAGAATAATGTATTTTCTTGCTACTGTAATCATGGATTAAGAGACTTAAATTTTTCAGAGGTATTAAGGAAATTTAGCTATCTCTGAGCATCCAGCCAAAAAAATAGTGAACCAGTTATTCAGCAATCACAAGAGTTTTATTAACACTTTTATATTAAAGAAAGCTCAGAATTCAGAAGTATATGAAGGTTCAGCCATAAATCTAGAAACAAGACTTGAGTTTTTTTAACATCTTTTAACACCCCAACGCACCAAAGAAGGCAGAACAAGTGAAATTTCTTTATTTCCTAAGAACCTATCAATTTGAGTGAGTATCATTATACCACTTACAGCATCCTCAATTTCTGTTTTTTTAAAGTTTAACTTACAAATGCGGCCGATCTGCATTTTCAGATAAAAAGCTGGTTATTTATTTATAATAGCATATGCTAGTTCCATCCACTTCTGATATTTTATTTCAGTTTAGCAATGCAGGCATGCTAGCTAATCGGGTAACAGGAAAAAAAAATAAAGTAACTTAATAAAAATAATTATAAATAATAAAAATAATAAACCAAGAGTTAAAGTAGGAATCCTCCATTAGAATGGAATCAAAACAAGCTTCAAGAAAACCTTTTCTGAATACATAGGGCTTGAAATGAATAGATATTTTCATGTTCATCTTTCCAGACTGAAAAAAAACATACATTTTATTAAAGAAACAATTCAGTTGATTACTTGGCCACTGCATTTAGGAATAATAAAGTAAAACAAACCACTTCAACATACACTTGAACTTCTGAGAGGAATTAACTCTCTGAATACACAGGAATGGTGAAGTGCAAAATATGATGTGTAGATTGCAAGTTCTACGCTGTGCAGAACATGCCTCATGCCTCTACGTTGCAGTTTGCACTACTCCTACATTTTGAATGCACTAATAAATAAATGCATGCACATGCAGTGAATAGCAACTTAAATCACATACAAGCAGCTACAGAACCAAAAAACTAATATTCATGGCAGATGCTATGTAAATTCTTTTGAATGCCATAAATTAAGCCAATCAAATACTCAGCCAAGTTCTTCAGTACCTGAAATTTAAAACTGAAGACATTTCCTGAGGCAACAGTTATGATACCTGCTCACAGTTGGCACAGTTATCTTTCCTTTTAAAGGGATCAAAGCTTGTCTTGCTTGATATATGCAACTAATCTAAGCCAATTTTCAATGCTTATCCAAGCAAGACAGAAGTGTTTCTTTTGTTCCATGTATGCTCCTCCTGGACATACAAAAGCACTAGGGAACCAGGTGATGAGACTGCGTATATATTTGACCCAGCAGAACTAGGCATGCTTGCTCCAGATGAAAGGCTCACATTTTCAACATGGAAAAACTTCACTGACTGCAAACACACTCCGATGGAATATAGCAATAAATCCTTAAGATAAAGAAATGACTTGGTTTGTGCATTGCTGGGGATACACAAACCAAGCCACTCATTATGAAAAAGTTGGTAGGTTTACTTACTATGACAAATGGCCCATTACGTATGCAACTGTGCACGTATAAAAGTGTTAAAAAGTATGGTTTAATCCTTCAACATTATAATACAATTCTTCCTGCATTTTTATGTTTGAAGTAATAGCTCCTGGACTTATAAATTAAGACATAATCCTACTGTCTGCCTGCAACTCTGTACCAAGTCCAAGTAAAATCTATTTCCTCTGGAAATAAACCTACACTTCTGAGGTAGGATTCCAATGAACAGGTTTTATTAAAATGATGACAGAAACTGATAATTACTCCATCTTAATAGATATAATTTAATCAATGGTCTATAGTTTTAGTACAGCTGTTTACTGAAAAAGATAAATATATTTACAGTATATGGAGATGAAAGAGCTATTACAGCTGTTTTGGGGAAAAGGGAAGCAGAAAGGAATGATAAAGTACAGAAACTTCTTGGGAAGCAGGCTTCTAAAGTTGTTCATTAGTCTTCTCTATAATTATGTGTTTAAATCTATACAGGTGCTTATAATACCCAGATCCCTCTGGCTGCTAAGCATATTCCAAGGCTGCCTCAAGTCATGTGACTAATACCTATCTGTCACATGCAGATCATGCTCTCATTTTTCCTACCCAGAGGAAAAATGGCAAGTACAGTGGTTTATTCATTTCTTTGTTGGCTTTTTTTTTCTTAAATGCTAAAATATCAGGTTTCTAACATGTTCATAATAGATTATAAATGGCCTTTTGATGGGTTGCTTAGTTTCAATTCCACCCTTAAAGGGAATTCCTGAAGAAAAACACTCAGAAGTTAAACGTAATTTATTCAAGATAAAATCTGAACATACAAATAGTTAAAGACCAGTCCCGGTAGAACTGTCACTTCACAGGTTTGGTGACTTTCTAACAGAAGGTTCAGCTCTATCTGAGGAGAAAAAATTGCTACATCGGGTATCCACAAGACATATTTGGTCCACATCTGTTATCTCAGCTGGTATATTAGTGTAATTAATTGTACCAGGTAGTATATTAAAAATTTCCTTAGTGTTACCTGTTGCACCAGTAAAGTATTGTAAGACCTATAACACAGACCAAAGCATATTCTAGCCTTTACCACACATCTTTCTCTATACAGTGTCTGAACACCACTAATACTGTCTGATGTAACCTAAAACTATGATCCAAATAAGAAACTGAACCAGGTCTTCCAAAGCTACTTGTGTTTAACGGTTTTCCCAGACTTTCAAAGACCAAATTCTACCAGACAAATGTGAGATACGTTTTTTGCCCTTAAAACATGCATGTATCTTTGTGAATTTTAAATAAGAGGACTAATACTTTCAATTCAATTTGAAACAGAGACAATAACTAGAATAACACATCTTTCATTTATTATTACATACTCTCATTTTTTAATGCATTAATTCATACACACATTTCATATACATTACCTTGATCAACTTATCCATGTCACTGTAACACAGAGAATTGAGAGAGATTTTAAAGGGTCTCCAAACTGGATTCAGGTTGTTCTTAATAACCTGTTTATAAAAAAAGCCAGAATAGTATTGTTCCCAGAAGTGGAATGTAGTCATTGTAATGGGCCATACCTTCATGCCATGATTTTTGTAAGCAAAACCAGTTGACTAATGATGCTGTCCATCACTTCCTGCAATCCAAATCCTAGCATGTAGAATATATAAACAAACATAACATTCTAAACAAGCAATACCATTGTCCAAAAGAGATAATATCTTTCAGCTCCGTATTTTTCTAGACTGCATTGTGATCTATTACATGATTCAGCTACTACACTGCAAAAATGAATATTTATATAAATATTGCCTTTTTTTCATAATACACACAAACACAAACATATATGAAAGTGTGGCTTACCAAAGAAAGTGGAAAAAGATTACACTGGAAATTCTGAATACATCAATGCTCTAGAGATTACAATTCACTGCAGCTTCTATTTATTCTGAAATGTTGCTTATGGAAATACTGCCTCAAGAAATTCATGGTATAGTTAAGCAGAAACAGTACATGAGGATAAAAGGTCTCAAACTGAACACCAAAAACATGACATTTAAGAATAATACTGAATGATCTTCAGAATTTGTCAAATGGAAAATATCTGTAATATGCCCAATACACACCAAATCATGATCTTATAAAGCACAAGAAACTACATGCAACAAGAAACAGTTAATTAATGATACCTAATAATACTTACACTTCCAGCACTGTATGAGTGCAAGGAAAGAAACAGCTCTTTTGAAAATAAAAAGAGTAAATAATGGTTAGTAACATAAAAAGTTTTTAAAATCTGTAACATAAAGAACTAATCCTACAGCAAATTTGGGTTTTATCTAAAACTGAATGACTGAAATCCTCATGGGAAAGATATAATTTACACAGAAGAACCACCTGACAAGAGAAACAAGTTTTATAGATCTGACACAAAAAGGATTCCTACTTCTTCGACATCCATGCTTCAAAATTAACACGGTCACCACTTCAAATGCACACAGTACCAGTGAAACATTTTGAACCTGACCTGTCAGCTGCCTCCATGGCACCTCTGCACCTCCTCCAAGGTAGAAGGCTGCTGCTGCTCAAGCACGCTTTCCCTCAGTCAGCATTATCCTTGTCTTGCCCTTGCTATGCAACCATGCAGTATAATTACTTTCATTACTAAATGACACAGCTAGGTGCCACTGACCTAAGAACAGCACAGTCACAGGAATGCTCAACAACCTCTAAGGGTGAGCAGCACTCAGACAAATGTCCATGTGTGAGCACACAGAACCTTTTCAAAACATTCAATTTCTTTTGAACTGCAGAAAATTTTGTGGTAGGGTTTGCTTTTTTGTGGTTGTTTTTTTGTGGGTTTGTTTGTTTGTTTGATTGGGTCTTTTTAGTATTTTCCTTTAAAACAGGATGGCATAAATCAGAAACAGAGTAAGGTAGACTTCCTGTTCTATCACAAAATCAGTGGATGATCTGAGGTCATTTCTAACCAGTCTGTGTCAACTACCAGACCACTGTCTTCTTTTTGTAAGCCACTGTACCTCTAGTGCTGTGACACATTAAAAATCAAATAAACTTTTAAACTCTAAATTGTTGACTGAAAATATCCTACCTCTGTTCTGTGAACCATCACCCAGTTTCCATCTCCCGTCTGCTTGTGGAATTCCAGATAAGGATCTGACTTTCCAAAAAAATCCTGTATTTAAAGAACATGTAATTATCCCAGAACAGCCTGTGGCATGAATGCTATTAAATGCAGTTAAAGCACACTTAGATTAACAAAAAGTAAACTAAATGTTCATGGAACAAAAACTTTAGATGCAAGTCTGATGAAAGAGGAAAAAAAACTAGGTGTTTGTCAATTTAGGTTAGAAGTTCTGTAGTGTCCATATACTAGATACCTGACAACTCAAACAAAAGAATATTTATACTATCCATCATAATACTTATTTGTTAGAAAACTAAGGATTTAATCCTGTTCAAAAAAGCATCATTAAATCAACTGAGAAAAATAACATATTTTTCATTATTTTGTTTTAAAAAGTCTTTCTAAATAGAGTCATTTTGGGCAGCCTCAAAACATTCACATAACAGATTGATACACTCCAAGTGTACTCTTACGCAGTTATTTCAGAGTGATAGCAGGTAATCACTTATACACCTATTCAACCCAATCGGTATACCAAACTCCCTTATCATTATCATTATGATTAATTATAAATATTTACATTTAAATGAAAGCATGCTGTTCACAGACCATTCCTGTAATGCACTTGGCTTTTTTAGAAATATATTAGAGTTCATTTCAAAACAGTTAATAAATTTACTGTGAAACCATCTTTCTTCAATTTGTTAGCATAAGAAGAGTCTTAATGGATTTGTTTCAGAAAAAAAACACCCAAAAGAAAACAAAAAAAAACCCAAACATTTTAATGTTTCCTGTTTTGACAAGATTCTGATTTTACTAAGAAACAGCAATGGCTTAAATACCTTGTTGTCCAGTTTCCTTGCTTCTACTTCCAATACAACCACCCTGTTGTCCTTCACTTCTTCTGCTGTAATCTAGAAAGGCAAAAAAAATTAAATCCTCATTTTGTATTCAGGAACTACATCGTTTTCTCATATTCACAACAGGTCCACTAAAATCATGTTTACTCACAAATGAAATATTAAAAAACGGAGCGCGGGAAGAACAATTTGATCTGATATTGAGATTCATGAGATGCTGATACTGACAACTAAAGATATTGCTCAAACAGTCGCACACTGGATGCGCTAATTATTTTATGGATGCAATGAGACCCAGAGATGCAGAACACAGGTCACTGCTCTTCTGGATGACAAAAAAATAATAGTGGAAGGGAAAAATAAATAAATAGAAAGCTTTAAGATACTTTTTACAGCACTGTAGGTTACACATACTGTGTTCAAAACACTAACTTAAAAAAACCCAACCAAACAAAAAAAAACAAACACCAAAACATTTAAGGATAAATACTGAACAGATTGTCTTACCGTAATACTTCCTGTTCCAGCAGGTCTGCCATTTTTGAGTACTAATGGTTTTGTTAGAGTCCTGCTAGAAACTATCTGCCAAGACAAAATTTGTGTATCAAGCATTAGTAGCACAATTAAATGTATCAGTAGCACAATTTAATAGATTTTCAAAGGAATGAAATCAGATAGTGAAGTATTTTCCTTTTATTAATTTTTCCTTTATCATGAAGATGACAGCATGGCATTTACTTTCCATGATCTTCTATAAATAAATGGTTAATACTCAACATATTTCAAAATTTTAAAGTACATATGCAGATGAATACACGCAGAGTTTCAGAAGCAGTATGTGTTCAAATGTCTTCTAGTAACATGATACACATAATGGACAAATACCTTAAGTTTCAATCTCAAACCATTTTTTTCATATGTACGATTCAAACACATGAAAGCCACGTTTCATTAAGGGGTTCAGCAAACATTTGTAAACACAATGCTTGTCATGGAAACAAAAATCAGCCTCCCCCTGCAGTGTTTCTGCAGTTCATCTTATTTATCCTCTGCTGGCAATGCCTTTTCAGAAGTTTGTCTACTCATTCTACGGGTCCTTCTTTACTTTAAGAATGAATAATTAATTTTAAATTGCTACTGAATTTCATTTCACCATGCCTCTGTCTCCATAATAAGCTGAAAATAAAAACACTTTAGACACAGGGAAGAATTTGATTGGGAAATGGGAATGAAATCGACAGTAGGCAGAACCAGAATCACTGCTGCTTTCCTTGAGTGGAAAGAAAATTACAAGGTTAACATGGCACTTGTGAACATTCTTTATGTTACTAAATCAAACTCTCTTCTTATAGAGCCTAAAAGTAAGAATTTGAGTACTACAGTAAGTAAATAGCAATTACTACTTTGTGCTCATTGACAGTCCACTTAGTTTCAGACAGGAATCTGGACAGTCACCATCATAAAGTACATTTCAGGGCACCATCGCAAGACCTTTTGCGCATAAAATGTATATACATGGAACCAAGGCTTGAAGAAACAAATGAAAGGAATTCTATTCAGTTTAGGAGTACCCCAATCACACAAGATGACAGTGGTAAATTTAAGGTAAATTATATAAGCAACTGACATTTTCTTAATTCTAAGGGAAAACATCTGCATACTTACTTGTCCCAGTGTACATTCAAATTCTCCTAAGAAATCATCATCATTCAGATCAAAGGTTTTGTTATCGATGTCATATATTCCAAATCTAAGTTTCTGAACAAGCTCAAAATAGTAATCAATTAGGAATTTCTTGGCAAACTTTGGGTTCAGGGAATTCTTAACTCTCTCTGTGCGATCAACCTGCAGTTAGAAAGATACAACTTTATCCAGGATTTCACCAATCAAACAAGCATTCAAATGAAATAATATATTATTAAAGACTCTCAAAAGTTCTTACTATGAAGTACAAAGCCATATATTCCTACAAACATTTCATCAACTATGAATATATTTATATATTTCTGAATCAAAGTTATATTTGCAATATATTTATATTTTCTAAATAAAAATATGGAACAAAATCCACTGCTGTAAGTCAGAGAAATATTGGAGGACCTGTTTTTCTTCTCTCCCAGTACAGGGTATTTATTCCTGCATAAAGATCAACATAAAAATAACAGGAAGGGCTTCTAAAGTAGCAAATAAAAGACAGACTAGGGACAATATGGGCCCTCTCCAGAAGCTATCAAGAGAACTGGCTACCCTGAATTTGGAGAAGGCTGAGGTTCTGAATGACTTCATTGCCTCAGTCTTCAGATGGCTTGAGACCACCTTAAGAACATGAATGTACACAAGTCCATGGGACCTGATGAAATCCACCCACAGGTCCGGAAGGAGCTGGCAAATGAAGTTGCTAAGACACTGCCCATCATATTTGGAAGATCATGGCAGTAACCTGAAGTTCCTGACTACTGGAAAAAGGGAAATATAACCCCCATTTTAAGAAGGAGAAAATGGATAACGCAGGGAATTACAGACCAGTCAGTCTCACCTCTGTGTCTGGCAAAATCTTGGAACAGATTCAATTGGAAGGCATGCTAAGGCACATAAAAACAAGGTGCCTGGTGACAGCCAGCAGGGCTTGACAAAAGGGAATAACTGCCTGACCAATTTGGTGGCCTTCTACGATGGGGCTACGGAACAAACGGACAGGGGTAGAGCAGTTGATGTCATGTACCTGGACTTCTGCAAAGCATTCGACACTGCCTCAAATGACATCCTTATCTCTAAATTGGAGAGACATCAATTTGATAGGTGGACCACTTGGTTGATAAAGAACTGGCTGGATGGCCGCATACAAAGGGTTGTGGTCAATGGCTCAATGTCCAGCTGCAGACCAGTAATGAATGGTGTCCCTCAGGGATTGGTGTTGGGACCCGTCTTGTTCAACATCTTTCTCAGCAAAATGGACAGTGGGATTGAGTGTGCCCTTAGCAAGATTGCCGATGACACCAAGCTGTCTGGTTTGGTTGATAGCTGGAGGGAAGGAATGCCATCCAGAGGGACCTTGACATGCTTGTAAGGTGGGCTGATGCCAGTGCAATGTACTACACCTGGGTCACAGCAATGAGTTGTGTGCAGTTCTGGTGTCCTCAACATAAAAAGGACATGGAACTGTTGGAACAAGAGCAGAGGAGGGCCACAAGGATGATCAGGGGGCTGGAGCACCTCCCGTATGAAGACAGGCTGAGAAAGTTGGGGCTGTTCAGCCTGGAGAAGAGAAGGCTGTGTGGAGACCTCCTAGCAGCCTTCCAGTATCTGAAGGGGGCCTACAAGAATGCTGGGGAGGGACTCTTCATTAGAGACTGTAGTGGCAGGACAAGGGCTAAAGGGCTCAAACTTAAACAGCAAAAGTTTACGTTAGATATAAGAAGTTTTATCTGTGAGGGTGGTGAGGCACTGGAAGGGGCTGCCCAAAGGAGTTGTGAATGCGCCATCCCCGGCAGCGTTCAAGGCCAGGCTGGATGGGAGTCTCGGGTGACACGGCTGAGTGCAAGGTGTCCCGGCCCTAAAATGGGATGGGGAGTTGTCCCTTGTCCTGCTGGCAGCCCAGCCCAGCCCTTGCGGGAGCGAGCAGGCAAAGACCTGCATACACAGAGTAAGGAGTTAGTGGGTGCTGAGGAAGGCACAGGGGCCGGGTTTGTGCCCAGGCCTTGCAGGCAGGGAGCACAGCCGCTCACCCCTGACCTCTCTGCTCTAGCAGGTCTTCAAGGTCTCACCGCCCCGCAAGGCGCTGAAGCGCAGGAAGCTAAGGATCCTCCGGCTGCATGCACCAGCCTGCCAGAACTGGCAGGTGCTGCTGGCCAAGGAGCCCCCTGCTGGCAGACATGCCCAGGGCCCTAGCGCCCCACAGCTCTGCCCAGGCAGCGAGAGGGGTCTGGGTGCCCAGTCCCCCTTCCTGCCGCTTCGCTCCGCTACTCAGGGCAGCACCATGCACTCTTCTGCTTAGCTTTTGCCTTACGCTATTCCAATACATGCTGGAGCCGGAGGACCACGCTGCCAGCAGGACCCAAGTGGGACTGCGAGATGAGGAAGAGATGCAAGTTGACATCAAGCCAGGGGATGACGAGGAGATGGAGGTAGACATCAGGTTGGAGGATGAAAAGGAGATGGAAGTGGACTAACTAGCGGTAAGAGCACGTGCTCCCAGCCACTGCTGGCAGTAAGGGTGGCTTGGCTGCTGCCGCTGTCCTGGGGCTGACTGTGCTGCAGGGCCACGGTGCCCAGTGTCCTCGTCCTGGGGGACACCACAGCGCTGCCCTGTGCTGCCTCTGGGCCACGTGAGCCAAGTCTCATTGCGTAGAGACCAGCTCCCAGCCTAGCCAGAGCCAAGTCCTGCAGCACAGTCACGCTCTCCCCAGCGTGTCTCAGGCTGTGGCAAACACAGTGACCATCAGCAGCCTCACTTTCATGACCTTGTGCTGCTTGCTTCCAGGTCCCATCAAGGAGGAGGAAGGTATTTTGGGAAGTTATTTTAGAAGATTCGTAGTTTGAAGAAGAGTGGAGTTTTGTAGAAGATCTGGACTTTCTTTCTATTAGAGTTGTTTTTTGCAGACTGTAGTTTCAGATAGGAGAGGTGTAGCTTGTTGTATAAGAACTGTAGTTTGTTCTGTTATTTTTTGTTGGTTTTTAAAATACATTTCTTGATCTTCCTGTGTTTGCTGTGAGCACACGCAGCGTTGGCAGACAAGCGGTTTCCACTTGCTCCCGGTTGCTGGGGCCGGAGGGGGCTGGGGCTGCTGGAGTTCGGGCCTGGGACACCATAGGTGCCCCGCATGGGCTCCCTGCCTTGGCAGAGTGGCTCTTTATGGCTCTCTGCAGCTGCGGGCAAGGCTGGGCACAGGCAAGGGACCAAAGGTCTGGATGCTCACACCAACCCCTCAGTGGCTGCAGAGCACCTGGCCCGGTGTTGCCATCGCTTCTCGGGCTGCTCCTCAAGCTTGGGGAAACACGAGAATGTGGCATCACGGCATCACAGTGTGCACAGACCCAGGTTGCTGCAGGCAGCAGCCTGCACCCGGCCTGCTGTTGGACCCTGCTGCCCAAAACAAGTTTGACCTCCCTCCATCTCTCTTTGCTGAGACCCTTCCTCCTGAGCCCGCAGGGTGGAAGAGGCTTTTACGCCAGAGGTGGCTGGGGACACTGGAGGTTGGGGGGCCTGCAGCTGGGTCTACAGTCACACACTGGTGCTGTTGTGCTGGGACCTGGCAAGCGGGGAAAGAGGAGGCACTTCCAGGAGGGAACTGGTGGTGGAGTGCAGGGGGAGCTGATGCGTGCATGAGCTGCGCATGCAAATGCAGATGGGCACATGTGAGTGCAAGGTCCAGATCCCTTGTAGAGCCCTCCTGAAGCAGGCAGCCCTTGCCCCATTCTGCTGGCAGCACATCTTGTCCTGCCCTCGCAGCCTTCGCTGCATGTGGGGTGCAGGTTTTGGCACGGGCCCAGTGTGACGGGCCCAGCTAGAGGATGTGGCCACGCAGCCGTGTCCTACTGCTGCCTGCACCTTGAGGCCAGGCAGGGTGGAATTCCACCCTCATGGATCCATCCCAGCTGCAGAACATCAGCACTGCTCAGCTCGCTCTCAGGCTGATCGTGGGACAGTGAAAGAGCAACGGAGATGGTCCTGGCCCCGTAGAGCTGGCCAGCGCAGCGTTCCAAATGTTCATTGTCTACTTAAGCACAAGAGTGGATGAGGAATTGGCTGGATTTGGTGGATAAAGAACTGGCTAGGTTCAGCGGATAATGAACCGGCTGGATGGCTGCATGCAAGGTGGTCAGCGGCTCAGTGTCCAGTTAGAGACCATTAACAAGTGGTGTCCCTCCGGGATCAGTGTTGGGACTGGTCTTGTTCAACACCTCTGTTGCTGACATGGACAGTGGGATTGAGTGCACCCTCAGCAAGTCTGCCGATGACACCAAGCTGTGCGCTTCTGTTGATACGCTGGAGGGAAGGAATGCCATCCAGAGGGACCTTGACACACTGGTGAGGTGGGCTGATGCCACCGTTATGAAGTTCAGCCAAGCCAGGTGCAACGTCCTACACCAGGGTCGGGGCAATCCCAGGCACAGCTACAGGTTGGGTGAAGAAGAGATTCAGAGCAGCCCTGCGGAGAAGGACTTGCGGGTGCTGGTTGATGAGAAACTGAACATGAGCCGGCAGTGTGCGCTCGCAGCCCAGAAGGCCAACCATATCCTGGGCTGCATCAAACAGAGCATGACCAGCAGGTCCAAGAAGTTGATCCTGTTCCTCTACTCTGCTCTCACGAGACCTCACTTGGACTGTTGTGTGCAGTTCTGGTGTCCTCAACATAAAAAGGACATGGAACTGTTGGAACAAGAGCAGAGGAGGGCCACAAGGATGATCAGGGGGCTGGAGCACCTCCCGTATGAAGACAGGCTGAGAAAGTTGGGGCTGTTCAGCCTGGAGAAGAGAAGGCTGTGTGGAGACCTCCTAGCAGCTTTCCAGTATCTGAAGGGGGCCTACAAGGATGCTGGGGAGGGACTCTTGATCAGGAACTGTAGTGGCAGGACAAGGGCTAAAGGGCTCAAACTTAAACAGCAAAAGTTTATGTAAGATATAAGGAAGACGTTTTATCTGTGAGGGTGTTGAGGCACTGGAATAGGTTGCCCAGGGAGGTTGTGAATGCGCCATCCCCGACAGCGTTCAAGGCCAGGCTGGATGGGAGTCTCGGGTGACACGGCTGAGTGCGAGGTGTCCCGGCCCTAAAATGGGATGGGGAGTTGGAACCAGATGATCTTAAGGTCCTTTCCAACACTATCTATTCTATGATTCTATATTGTCAGATCCAGGATGAGACCCCAGTTTTGGAGTACTTTATTTCTGAAAGTACATGTAAGTGCTTAGAAGGCACATTCTGTTTGTCCATACGTGGCTGTGAACCATTGCTAAAAATCAGACAAGTGTATTTATTAAAAAAAACAATTATTAGCTTGCTGCCTGTGTAACTATTGTAGGTATAATCATGGTTTAGTGGGAGGTGTCCCTACCCATGCCAGGGGGGGTGGAACTAGATGAACTTAATGTTCTTTCCAACCCTAACTATTCTATGATTCTATGATTCAGAGGTGCTGCTATACAATTAATATATTTTATGTAGCGATATGAGTTATATATTTCTATATCATTAAATTATTTACATAATTAAAATATTTTAATGCACTCATACAGTCCAGTGTTTTAAAAGTCCCAGCAACATAAACGGCATTTTTAGCAGATACATGAGAAACATCATTCTGTACCTCATACCACTGCTGACCACTGGTGTTCTGGAGAAGCACACAAAGCGGGTCCGACTTGGAAGCAACATCTTTATCCAAGAGATTGGTGCAGGAAATTGTCAACTCCACCTTTGTCACACACTGTGCCGCCATTTGTTAAGCTAGAAAGCAGCAACAGTAATTGTTATTTTAAAAATGGACTAAAAAGCAAACAATAGGCTTGTCACAATGCATTAACTCTCTGACAGATCACTAGAATTGTTAGATTGTCAAGAGTGAAATCTGAGGCTTCAAATGTAAATTTTAAGATTTATGACGTACCAAGATTACGTTACTCTCATACTCTTGGCTTTGTATAAAACTTAACTTTAAAATCTGCACCTAAGAAACAAGATCAGGTTTCTTAGAATGCTTGAAGACCAAACGGAAAAATGGGAGACACCACAAACATTAAACTGTTCACAGTGAGCTGCTGACAGTAAAGCTTCAGAAGCCTTAGAGTACATCCTGTAATGATGTATGCCACATGAATGCCAGTAACTTGTAATGTAAATATTAATAGTTCAATGAATAACAAAATAAGTCATATGACATACTCCCCAACCAAACCTTTGTAATGAAAAGCTGAAGCCATGAGCATGGCACAATTGGAAAAGGAGTTTAAGTGGGTAACAGAAATAGGCGATCTTGCTTTAGTAAATCTTCAAAACCAGCTAATTTTTAATAATAAGGATAAACAACTTTGAAGTCAAGTAACAACCAAGAATTAAGAGAAAATGTTCTTTCTGGAGGTTCGTTTGAAAATAAAGAGCAACTGAAAGCTTTCTCATATTTCTTCTTAAGTATTTCAATAATTCTTTACTGGAACTGAGAAAACCAGCAGATATTACAAACCTACAGAGATAACTTCATTATCAATTATGAATCCCACATTGGGATAACCTTCATTTGCAAGCCAAATTAGGTCTGAGCAGCAGATATTTTCTATATAAAAACCCCTCTATAATTATACTCTTCAGAAATACAGTTGATCATTGCCAACATCTCTTTGGGAGGTGAGCCTCCACAGTACAAATGCCCTTGACTCAAAGACTAAAACTTCAAAATCTTTTCACAAGCAGCCTATCTTGGAAGTTCCCAAGCATCTTCAGGCTGTCCTTTTCCATATGAAGTCCACAGTCTAGACACAATATTAATTTATCTTGAAAGTGCATGAGACACTAAACAGAATAAGGAAAGAAAGGCATCTGCTTCTACTTAGCCAGCTTACTTGCAGTGTACACATATAGTGTACTTGAACATGAAGCTACATTTAACCCAAGCCATCTTTCTTTCTTTCACTGCATTCCTATGACATTTGGTGAAAAGGAACTCTTTTTAGAGGCAAAAAGGAAAAGGAACATGGAAAAGAGGAACAATGAACTGAGAACAGGAGAAAGAAAACACAGTGGTCTGGGAGAATTTTCACAAGGGTTGTTTTATTCCACCTGGGCACACTTCACACACTGCCTCTCCATTTTGCTATTTAAGAGATGGATCTCTGTTTTGCCGTTCTGCCGTCTTAGCAATGGACTTCTGCAGAATGAAGAAAATATAGATTGTATGTAAAGGAACCACTCAAGCATTCATGCACATACCTTAACTTTAAGAGGAAGCATGTCAGATTCACGGAAATCCTACTGCACCCCCAAACAGCTAAAAGTGATTCCACCTTTGAGTATCTTTTGCTCCCATGACTTTACCAAGTTTCAGTCATTGTCCTTGAGGTGAAAAAAGTGAAATTCTAAGTTCTAAGTATCTAAATTGTTTTAAAACCAATGGGTTTTATGCTTAGCATATCTCTAAAAGCAGTCTGCCCCTTTTCCCCTGGTTTCTTTTACACTCGTATTTTCCATTCCCTCTTGCTTTGCCAGACAGAGCTCATTAACAGTCAGTGGCTTTGCCCACAGAATCCAGTGGAGACCAGTGTATGACTCCTTAATGCCTGTTTCCAGAAAACCACTTTCTGCTGACAAATAATGCTCTAGACACAGTATCAACTTATTTTCAAGACTGAAAATTAATTTATAAACTGTAAGGCAGAACTTGCAGCATCCAATCTCTGAACTGCAGCAATGTACAGTCAGAAGGGAGATACTCATTCCTGACCATATGCCATGTCTACGTCACTCAAGAGCATGATCAGGTCAACTAAGTATATTACAAATTCTTCTGCTTCAGCTGTCACTATCAAAGCAAAATTCTAAGTCAAGGACTAGTCTTTTTTTGCAGTTCCACCAATGATAATGTTCTTTGAATTCCATCATAATGACTCCATTGAAGATAAGTGGTGTCCACCAAATAACCCAGCCTATGTGTGCTGTAAACACAGTATTCTAAATAGGAAGGAACAGACCTATTATCAGAACAATCTAACAGAGCACTTAGGAACTGTCAGACTGCAGCAATCCTGTTGATGCTGCAATACCAGAGGAGAGTACAGGCTTACCCAGGTAACCTTTCAGAGTAGTATGACATGTTTATAACTATAGGTGCTTCCCAATCTGACAAGCAGAAATACATAACTACAAGACCAAAGGACTAAGGAAGTGAGCACTGCTCTAGCTGGGTTTGGCATCACTGCCTTCAGTCAGAAGTCTCAAACCTGTTCTGATGTAAGCTATTGCTGTCACAAAACATTTCCTCATTCCTATGAACTACTGACAATAGACCCAAAATCCACATTTTGCATTTACCTCGTGGCCCAGATGGACACAGCAAGAGCAGTGAAAACAATTCTGAACTTTCTAATAAAGTCTGATTAGTTGATTGCTGATCAGCTAATCTTCTAGCTATAATACTACACTTAAGCATTTTGTGTAAACTGCACGTCAGACTGACACAAGCAGTATTGTATAAAAGCAGTGCTCCAATCCTTCGTGGATTACTAAGTATTTCCCACAAATCTTGGCAAATGACAACAAGGAAACGATTATTCAGACAGGCTATAAAAGTGAAAATTGTGAACCAAGTCTAAACCTGTAATAACACATATGAAGCTTTACTGTCCTGAACATTCAGGGCATGCAATTCAGGCTCTACTCTTTCAGATAGGCCTAAGATACCATTTCCTGCAGACAGAAATTTTTGTGGTAAAGATCTCTAGGCGTGTATTCTTCTATTGCAAGACCAAGAAATAACAGCACCTCTTACAAAAGTCTTTCACAAGAAGGGTTCCAGTGAAGAGCTGGCACAAAGATGGACAAAGTAAGATTTGAATGAAAGTAACCTGGGAGAGAACATCCATCTGACAATATAATTTTCTCAATTCACAAACTCAGCATAGTCCTCTCGCATCTCTTTAGAACAGCTGCATATCCAAAGAGCAGAGAATGACACTGTACTCACAGAAAACACCACATCTGCTGCAAGAAGCTGATGAACTTATGAGAAATGGATGCTCCTTTCCACTGACGGGCTAGGAGCAACACAATTTCCAGTGATCTTGGGCTACTTGTGTATAAACATATATTTAAAAAAATCTCAAGGTAACCCTTCAATTCTCAACGAAATGGACAACCTCACAGGAGCTGAAATTTCACATAGTTACAAAGGCTGTTTTATAATCACATCTGAAAATTAGAGGCTTCTTTAAAAACTGTAAACCTGAATTCTGCTCCGCTTTTCCCCTCTCTCTCTTTACAAGCAACACAGCTGATAAAATTGTCCTGTTGCACTAACTGATGTGCTGACAAGTTGAATAACAGAAGCAGCTCAAAGTAATGCATCTCAGCTTGAACCGCTACGTATTTGAAGAATCACACAAACCTTGAGTGTAAGCTACCCCTTCTCACATTCATTACTTAGTATGATGTAATTATGTAACTCTTCATTGAACAAGTGAGATTACAGTAATAAAACCCTAATAACCTCAGAATTTATTTTACTGGTGATTATTCCAAACAAAAATTAGAGTTAATATTTAAGATATCTGAGGCACATGAGACCATGAGAAGGGACACATTGTTTTCTCTGTGGGAAATGAATCATCTATTTACACAAGCTTCATCATGCCCAGGTAGTTCAAGTACTTATCGACTGGACTGGTAGCACACTGGTGTAACAAGTCATGCAACTACTTATAGATATATATATATAAAAATCTATAATTAAGTTACCTTGCCAAAGAACACATTCAGAATTCTATTTTTAAAAATTCCTACTGCACAAACCAGAAACTATTAATTTAACTTCTAGGATGCCTGCTCGCCAAATGACTTGGAAACAACCATTTCTAAATATCCTTCTGCGGACTTTTTTTTATTCCTGAATATGTGCATTTACCCTTTACACACACTTTTTATGGTGAGGGTTCTTCCCAGCTTCCTCATCACATAACAGTATTTTAAAAATTTTGAGTGATGTTTTGATCTAAGGGAGCTAAACTATAAAAGGTAATATTGTGTCCTGAACAAGAAAATTAAGAAACACAGATCTCATAACATCAAAACTTAGTTGGTTTAGGCAGAGAGCATTCAGCCAGAGGAAAATGTCTTTCTTGCATACATGTTTTATCAGACTATTTTTAAATCTATTACTTTATGGAAAACAATCTATCAACTATGCAATTTTAATACTACCTTAAATAGTGTATTCTTTATAGCAATTCCTCTCATTGACTGACTTTAATCAACATTATCCAGAAGAGAGAAAAACCTGTATCTCACAAAATCTTGCTGTGTTTCATTGCAGAAATAAGATGCAAGTGATCACATTTTAGACTAAACCTTACAGTCCATTTCAAATCTGGCATGTTGTGACACTTCACTGTTACAAATATCAGTTCTTAAAAATGGCAACTTGGCTCAGAGGTCTGCCTCTGGGCTTCTAGGCAGAAGGCTAAGCTTCAATAGTAGCATTAAAATGTTAAATGAAAGCAAATTAAAACCAAGAATTGTTATTCCCATGTATCAATCAAAGTAACAGGTTTAACTGCGTAGACTTTGAGGAGCTAGAGCTCCTCAAAATAACCTGCCCAACAGTTTAATACGTCCATGACAGAAGCACTATGGAAACTCAGAGCCGTTGTCAGAGAACAAAGTACAATGTAAACGAGATGCTTAAAAACTCCAGAAAAAAAAGGCATTTAAGATTTCAAGAACAAACATGAGATTACTTTTTTTTTGTCTTATTCATGTAATTATTTTTTAATAAAATTATGGTGTTTTAAAGTAAGTAGACCAAAATCACTGGCTTGCAAGCTTTCAATATGGCTTATGCTCTGAGAAACCAATGCTTTCCTACACTGCTACAGCTAAAGACAGCCAAAGAAGAAATCCATAAAAGTACTATTACACAATGGTCCAGGATATAAAATATTATTTTGTATTTCAGTATAAACAGTAACATTAACCTGAAATTGAGAATCACAAAATTACACTTTACTACTGCACAGATGTATTTCAAAACCTCCTGTAGGCAAACCAAGAGCTCTGCAGTCATCTGTTCTTCAATTCACTATCACAGCAGCTACTTGCACTCTGCAGTCACTGTGGCTGGGAGGCATTATACATGCTCTGCATACACACAGGCAGTGGCACTGAACAAAGGCACACAGCAATCATGCTGCTTCCCAGAACCATCAGATTATTGTACATGTGCTAACTACCCACCATGAGGATTTAATAATAATCCTCCAGGATGTGAGAAGCACTGGAGCAAGTTGCCACCAGCGGAACTAATTCAACTGGCTCCTAACTGTGCCTTGGATAAACCACTGAGTGAACACGTGCACCTGATCCACCTACAAGATAGAAGAGTCTACCGAATACAGGCTTCCTTCAACCACAGAAGAAAGTAATCTAAATAATTAAGAATATTTCCTAAACAAATGCTTAGACTCAGAAACCCAGTCCCCAAACTCCTACATCCAGAAATCCTTCAAATGCTTAATAATGTCATTTTTAAATCCCTGAGCAGGAGCATCTCATCTAAAGCAATATTAAAGATAAGCTAAGGACATTAAACATTGAATCGTTTAGGCTGGAAAAGAAGTTTAAGATCGTAAACCAGTAAAGAGTACCGTAACTCTATTTTCTGTCTGTAAACTTTGATGGGTGTAACAGGAACTAGTACCTACAAATACTAACTCCATCATGTATCATTTATGTTGGAAGAGAACTATGACATTCACTGAAAAATAAACCAAAATAATAAGGAATTAATAATTTAGTGGCTTACTACTTAATTTTGTCCCTAAAGGTATTGCCTAAAGGAAAACACGGTAACGACAGGATCTGATACTAAATCAGAATAAGGGAAAAAAAGAAAAATTAAACTCCACTCCAGGTAATAATATTAACCTGTCAAGTTCAGTTTTATTCTTTTAGAAGAATCTTTGGTGTTGCTTGTACAAAACAGCTGCTATGGCTTCCCTCTAGCCTTAAATTCTGGAGAAACATTAAACACCTTGGGCATAACACAAGGCTGTAAAATCACTGTGGTATAGCACTGCTATCTTGGAATTCTGGCAGATGACATTTAATAACAGCTTAGTTATTCAGTCTAACAGAAATGCATTTTTGCTTTCACACTAAAATTGGTCTATCAGTCACACATAATGGGTCTGTATGGATTAATTCAAAAGTATTAGCACAAATATACTTACTGGAAAAACACCGCATTCTTCCTAACACCGTAACAGAAGAACAAAAAGACTTGGCTCTTCTTGCTCCTATACCTATTTCTTGTTTTTTTTTTTTTCCAATGTTTACTGATGCCTGCATGCTCTCCGAAACCATCTTACCTCTCTGATTATACATATCACAGAATGCTTTGGGTTGGAAGGGACCTTAAAGATCATCCAGTTCCAACCCTCCTTCCATGGGCAGGGACACTCCACTATACCAGGTAGTTCAAGGCCCTGTCCAGCCTGGCCCTGAACACTGCCAGGGATGGGGCAGACACAACTTCTCTGGGCAACCTGTGCCAGTGATTCAGCACCCTCACAGTGAAGAATTTTTTTTCCTAATATGTAAAGTTAAAGTTTAAAACTTCAATGGAAAAAAAAAAAAAGTAATAATCTGGGATCAAGTTACTTTCACTAACAGCCCGTCTGTACCACTATAGAAACATCTCTAAGCTGAACTTTCAGAGACATAAAACTCCCAAGAGAACATTGCTCCATGTCTGGAGACAAGGCAATGCATATTAATACACCCTGAAGATACAAGTGAAAAGCTTTCATATTTCAACATTTCCCTAGTAGAAAAGTAAATTATGACAACATGCATATCAGCTTGTTGTGCAAACGCAGTTAAAGACTAAAAACCCAACCACCTGCTCTAGCAGCCGCCCAGGAAGAACAGCGAGTGTTATTCTAGGAACGACGATGACTCCTGACAGTTTCTTCCCCAAAGGAAGCAGCGTTACACCGCCACAGACACCGGCCTCCCGCACACCAGTGTTCCGACGCGCAGCTCTACCTTCACGCAGTCCGAGGGACGCGGAGGAACGCGACTTACGCCGGAGCTCCGCCGAAGCCAGTGCCCAGCCCCGCGGAGAGCGGCCAGCGCCTCAGAGCAGGAAGCGGTAGGGACACTTGCGGGTGTGCTGCCAGGAGGCACGGCGAGGGCAGCTGCCGCCCGCGGCACCAGCCGCGGCCCCGCCCCATACGCGCCTCTGCCGCAGGGGTGCACCGCCCTGAGGGGGCGCAGCTCGTTCTCCTCAGGCCAGAGCAGAACCTAAACCCGCGGCAAACGGGCAGAAGCACAGCCTAACGAGCACGGGAAGGAAACGGGGCCCTCCCAGGCGGCGGGCCGGCGTCCCCGGGCGCCCAGCCCTCTGCCCGGCCCTCAGACAACGCCTAGCCTAGCCTAGCCCAGCCCAGCCCAGCCCGTCCCGTCCCGTCGCGCAGCCACTGCAGAGCAGCTAGGCCAGTCCTCACCTGCCGAAACCACCGACAGAACCGTCGAGCGCTCACACCCCTGGCGGCGCGGCGGCCACGCCCACGCCAACCGGGCGCGCCGCGGCCGAGAGGCGCATGCGCGGGAGCCCCTCGCAGCCGCCCAAGGCCGGGCAGGCGGGGCGGGGCGCGGCGCTGGGGTCACGCAATGGCTGGCGGGCGGAACGTGTGGCCGCTGCTCTTGTTTCCCCTTAAGCCGGGTTGCTGCTGGTGACGGACCAGCTCCTCTGCGGCGTGCGATGGCCGCTGTCATGGAGGCGCTGGTGTTGGCGCGGTCCTTCCACCGTGCTCCCCGCTGCCTGGGGAGGCCGCTCCGGCGCGGGGCGGGCGGCGCGACGTACGGGCCGCTGCGGTGGGGGGCCAGCCGCGGGGCCGGGGACAGCGAGGTAGCCGCGTTGTTGCTCGGGGTGGGCGGCCGCTTCCACGGTCTTCGTAAGCTTGTTCCTGCCGCTTGCCGGCCTGGGGTCTGGGGTGGGTGGCAGCTACGGAGACCGGCGGGGCGGGGAGGGGAGGGGCGGGGCGCGGTGAGGAGCTGGTGCGGTTTTGCACAACTGGGATCCCTGGGCTCGTTCGCTCTTCAGAAACGCGAGTTTGATACTTTCCTTCTTACCTTGTGTGTGCTCCGTATTCTTAGAATCATAGAATCAGCGAGGTTAGAAAAAACCTTTAAGATCTCCCAGTCCAACCTTTAACCCCTGACCGCCAAGTCCACTACTAAACCATGTCACAAAGGGCCTTGTCTACATGTTTTTTGAACATGTTTATGGTTTATTTTCAGTCTAATGCTCTGTTCCTATTTTAAAGCGTAATTAGTAGTCTGTGTTGAAAAAAACTAGAAAATACCCTCATGATAATGCAGTTTATCTTACAAAGTTATTTTTTTCTTTTAACTTTCAAAAGGCTTTTCTCTGATCAAGATCTGAAATATAATTGATATTATAATTTATATACACTAGGGAGCATACAAACTTTTTTAAGTTAGGTTGACAGTGTTTATTAATGCATATCTTGTGATCCCATGCAGGTGCTTAGAAAAAGCCTTCAGAGGGGGCTTGTGCTTTCAACAGGGGCCTTCCTGGTTTATGAAGCTCACAAGCTGATTTCTGGCTTTGCTGAGGTTCATGCAAGCTTCAGAGGTAATATTTTTAACTTTTGAAGTACATAAGTTATTCTGATGTAAACTTTTTTTGGTTTTAGTGCCAGAATTATATAGGAAAATGGTTTAATGCTCTTGATTTTCTCCATTAAGACTGCACACAGTGTATTTGCATCATTTGCACCATTGAATTGCTTCAAGGTAGCCTTGTAGCAATTTAACAAGTGATTCTTTTCATATTTCACTGAAAGCAGATCTAGTAGCTCATACTGTCTAGCATATAATACATGCACAAGGTGTATACACCTAACTTGTAGCCCAAGCTTTAAGTAACGTATTGGGAAAGACATGACTCGATTAGGATTGCAGACCAAACCTTAATCTGTAGAAGTTCTATTTAATCTAGTCAAGCTACACTGAAATTCCATTTCAGTCAAAATTGGGAAATGTCTTGTTTTTTTTGTCACACTGAAAAAAAAGGAAGAAAAGCCTTTTTTTATCTACCACAATAAAGTACAGAACAAGTGATAAAATATCCTTTTCAAGATCTGAATAAAAGCAGTCCCACTACTGAAAGAAAAGTAACATCTTAAAAGGGAATATTGTTGCAGACTTAGAAGTTGCTTATCACATGGTAAATTAAGGGGGTTTGAGAGTAAACCTAACTGAATGGGGAATGAGCCTAAATGAAACATACATTTACTGTGTAGATCAGAAAGTAGTCAGTTCAGCTAACTTGTTTCTTTGTGTCTCAAAGAGAGGAAGGTCTTAGAAGCTTACACAAAAATTCATACAATGTACTTTTGAATAGATAAGGAACTGTTTAATTTGCTGCAACAGGTGGAGATTCAGTGAATAGATTTAAGGTAACTATTTGGTATACAAATAAGAAAATTTCCCATAAGGAAGATAAAGAACAGTACTTAGTTGCTTCTGGTCTGTTTAGTGGTCTCATTTGAATCAAGCAACATCGCCAAAAAAAAAAAAAAGCAGTGTTAGTGGGCTTTCTACAAGACAAGTAGTAGATATTGTGAAAATAAGGCTGAAAAAGAAATACCTGAAAAATACTCTTAAAGAAATATAAGTCTAACAATTTATATAAAACCTCTGGTGGGAAAGGTGTTCAGAAGTTTGAGTTCTGAGCATTTAGTAATTAGATATGTTAGTAGTACACAGGGAGACTAAGCAAGCAAACGTAACGGTTTGCTGAACTGAACTGGAGATGTACCATGAAGCTCATCTTGGATGCTAAAATCCAAAGTCCATGTAGACTGTTGCCTTATCTTATCTTTGAAATGGTTAATGGAAAGCATTTAGAAGTGTCAGGGTTAAAAATTATCCAGAACGCTTGCCTGATCTTCAGTGATTTATATTCTAGGATCTTTCTAAGCTGAAGAGAAGACTTTTGTGTTTAGTAGCCTTCAATGCTGGGTTGTTTTTTTTTCTCTTCTGTAAGAAAACCTGCTGCTGTGAAACATGACTACCATATTCAGTAGATAACTTGAAAAAAGAAAGCTTATAAACACTTTTTTTTCTAGGGGGGTGGGGGGAAGAACTTATGTTTTCACTAAGAACTTTGATCACGGACCCAAGAGTAGTATTAAAGAGATGATAAGCATAGTTGAAAGTTCTGTAAGAAATTAGAGAAGGCTTTTGACTTAAATGGTAATTTTTCCATGTTTTAATGTTGGTGGCAGAACAGTAAACTCAGAGTTTGATCATCTCCTGTACAGTTAAATACTTTAATAGAATTATCTACCTGCTTCCTTTGGGGTATTTTTTCTCCTAATTCTGTCTGTTTTCATTGTAGAATCCTGTATTTTCTGGTGTTTGATATTTCCATTTCTGGAATGCTGTTTTATGTACTATATACGTAGGATATTTACTTATATATTACTGTCTGTTTCCACTGTTGTGGAAATTGTACTTTCCCATCTCTGTTTTGAAGCATTTTTAGAAAAAGATGTAAAGTATCCTAAGAAAAATGGGTACTTGCTTCATAAATTGACACTCTAGAAAGCTGATTCTGATTTTCAGAATTATTTTTGCTTTTAGTGTATTGAATATGTGGTGGACTTCACTCACAAAACCTTTGAGCGATGTTTCAGTTTGGCTTGTTGAACAAGTTAATGGGACCCACTCAATCTGCAGTCAGATTCTAGCAAAACTATGGAATGATACTGAGAATGAAAAAAACAATCCAAAGCTCTGTTGCTGAAAGCTGCTCTGTAGCCTCATGAGAGGCAGGTATTCAGCACTGTTTCTCTTCCTAGTTGCTCACTGAAAATGTAGTTTATTCAATCCACCTGTGCATGTAAGCTGTTTGGAATGGTGGCCTGAAAAGGAACTACATCCTTATGTTTTAGCTAGGTTGTCTTGCTCTAAAATGTTTTGTTTGTTATAATGTTCTAATTACATGTAATTTGTTCTTCTGTTTCCACAATTGCAATTCTTTCTTAAGTGGAAGAAGTTATAGAGCAAGCAGACTACCTGTATGGGAGCGGAGAAACGGAAAAGCTGTATCGGTTGCTGGTTCAGCATAAAAATAGGTACTTTATTGCATTGAGACATTACTGTGACTTCTTTTCTGCACTCTTCTATATCAGTTTTTTTCATCTCATGTTCTCATTGTGGTATGCTGGAGAACCTTGCTTTCACCCTTATGTAAATAGGAAAAAAGGACTCTTGATCTTTTTCCTCCTAATGGAAAAATGAATGAAATGAGGACTGGTAGCTATAGGTGGTGGGAGTCAACACTCAAGTTTTCAGTCCTTTGAAGGAGGATTTCTTTCTTGCTTGATTTGTTACGCTAAGAATTCTTTAAATTCTAGTGTGGGGGGGGAAAAAAACAACAACAAAACCTCACAATGTGCCTACACATTACTAAATGATCAAAGTACCTAGAATTCAGCTATTAAAGATTTCAAGTCACTGTTACCTTTTTCATTGCTGACCAGCTGTTTTTCTGCTTTCATTTGTCTCATGTCAGTATTTGAGACTGCACAAAAAAAGCTCCTTCCTCATGTAGTTATGCCTTAGCTGCACAGAGCATTACTGATAAGTGAATTGGGACAAGCTGTTCAAGGAGAAGGCAAAAAATGTAAAGTCCATTCCTTTGGAGGACACAAGGCATCTCTAGAACATTTCTAGAGGGAATCAACTGTTCGGTTTTCAGTTTTTTCCCACTGCCCCTTCTTGCTGAGGCACAAGTATAAAGCCTGGGAAGTTAAATGAAGATCCTAACCTGTAAGGGTCACTGTGTCATAAGCAAGGTGTAAGCTTGTTGCTAGGTGTATAACAATACTAATTATTCTGTGAGGAGTAATGATTCCATTAGCAGTACTTAGCATTTTTGTGACTTGGGTGAAAAATGAATCGGCTGTTTCTGTTACTGTGTGTTAAATAGTGCAGGCAGGACTGCTGCACCCTGAGCAGTGACCCAGTCTTACTCCATAGAAGAAAACTGGTGTTTGTTGTTGCTCTGAGTTTAACAATAACTCATGTATGCTTTTTAATATTTTTGGTTTGAGTTTTAGCACTGGATAAGAAGCTCTGAAAAACTTTCTAAATATTAATGTCTCTATTAAAATAGTAAGCCAAAATTCAAATGGTAGTTAGCTGAACATAGAGTGCAAGCAGTGTTTCAAAACAGTGTGTTAACAAGATAATAAAACCTAAAATCCCTTTGGCTATAACATACCACACACCATTTTATAGAGTTACATACATAAAGGTACAGCTTTATGTGGTAGTGGCATGGCTAATCTGTTTTTTCACTGTTGTTCTAGGAAGAATTTATTATTTACATACAATTATAAGAGAAAAGATACATAATGTTTTTAACGTTCCTAGTAAACATTAATACCAAATCAGTGGGATGCTGGAAAAAATACTGTCTAGCTAAGAACCAAGTAGTGCTTGTTTTCCTTCTGGTGTTTTCAGTGGTACTGTTGGGGGTTTTCTTAACTGCATCTTTTTTGAGAAAACAAAGCCCTTTCCTACAGA